GCGAGCATCTGGATGGCACATACAGTGCCTGCGCGAGTCTCCGCGAGCAGCTGGAGCATCACACAGGCACTAAGACGCATGCATGAACTGCGCGCGTGCACGAGGACGCCGCCGGCCCTGTTCCAACCGAACCGGTTGGAACGGGATTAGCAACCCACCCCTGTCTGGAATGCATGTCAGAGGAAGGAATTGAATTAGAATTCTTATTGTGCAAATTGACTGTTGCTAGTACAGTTTTGTACTCCACCAGTCGGGGTATTCTAAAATAAACATTTTCTTTAATCTGAAATTTATGTCTTTCATAGAAGTTATGTTCAGAAGCACTCAAAATCACGATCCACTCCCCACCCATAAATTTGAAATAATACATTTTGGTGTCTTGTTCTTATTTGAGTCAGTGACAATAGGATTAAAATGATGATTGATGGAAACTCATCTGACATCCCTCAGCTCCTTTGTGCAACATAAATATAGCTATTACTTCCTGACAAATAGAGTTAAATGCATAGACAGCTCCCCCAGCATATTTAAATGGCTTGTCATTTCTTAATATGGTGAATTCTTAATCTTAAGAATTATTGAAGGATTTTAAAATTCTTAATATATGGTGGCTGAAACCCATAAAAGTGGTTTGGGCACTCTCGTTTTCTTTCCTATTAGAAAAACCCAATGGAGTATCATAAAATACTTCAAAATGTTCCCTTGATTTTAAAAATGTTTTCCCGTGATTCATGGTGAGCTATTATCCAAGAAATACCCATGTAAAGTCACATTGATGTAAGGAATTTGTTTCTGATTGTCTGGATATTGTATATACAGTGTTTCAAACGTGCTTGTGAATCACCATACGAAGAGCAAAGCTCTTTACTTTTAAGAGAAAAGATAATCAATCTTAAGTCTATGCAGACACATTTATGTATCTTCAAACTGTCTTAATTGTGCCCTCCGCTGGCATCCTTGTTGATACTCTAGCGATTACGTCTTGTTGATCAGCCTTTTTGTACTTAGCCTGGTGATTTGTACTCAGTAAGACAAAAAAGCAAGGATTTTTATCATTCATTTTCCTCTTAATACCACTTTCCTTGATGAACATGATTGCTCGGGCGTGGTCTGTGAGCTGGGCTCATTTGGAATGTATTGTTTTGATTAGCAAATGTCACCTTAGCACAAGTTCCCTCAGACTCCAAAAGAGTCTCCAACTAGTAACTTCACTCAATGTACAGTTTGAAAGCATTTTTGGTAATCACACTTTCTTTCATAGCTTTGATATTTAATCCTGTACAGTACAGAAAAGCCAACAAACTTGTGTAATTACTATAGAAAGAAATTTATTTATGGATTGCAGTTTAGCTCCGGTGAAGTGTACAATTAAAAATAAACTGACATTTGATGAGATTTAGATAGTGCTTTCCTACCGCATAAATAGCAAGTACAGCATGAAAAGCAGTGACATTATGTTGGCATGATAGTAATGTAATGCTTTTAAAGGCTAGAAGGCCCTATGCTAAGCATAAACTAAATAGAAGTCCATTTAAGTTAGCTTAATATCATTTAAAATTATATTTGGATAGTTTGCTGAAGGCAATTCATCAACATTTATTTGATAATTATGTAATAGTATTCAATTTGATTGGATTATTTTAAAGACACAGATTATTTTAGAAGCACAGAGCAAATCTGCTGATTAGCTCAGTTCAGTTTCATCTGTTTTCAAATGGAAAATATGTTTTAAATGGGGAAAATATGCAACATATTATCTTCAAAGTAGTACTCAGATAAAACAAACCAATTTCCCACTTCATTTTTGCCCAGTGAAAGCAGTGATTTACTAGGTCCTCCAAGGTCAACGTATTCCTTGGAGTAACACACTGTGTGGCAGATGAGGTAATTTATTACTTCCTTGTGAATGAGTGGGCAGAGATACATATTTGTAGGTGGCCCAGCATTTAAAGGTTGGAGTGTACTGATTATACTAGATTTTAAAACTAATTTTTTGTCCGAAACACATCAACCAACCTAACTTTTATATATGGTTCACATATCCAAAACAACCCTTAAATTTGTTTTTTAAAACTGAGTTGACAATGGGTAGTGAGGCCTGAATGGATTTTTCCATTTTAAAACAAATGAAACTGGACTGAAATGAATTAGACTTATTCTATGTTTTTAAAAGGAAGATAATAAAATAATTCAATTTTGGTGTAATGATAAGAAAAATTATTATCCTATCAAGAAAAAAAATGATACCTCCACCAAAATGCACAAAGCAAGCTACTGTATATAAACATGAAGCAAACCCCATACTTACTTGAACTGACAATGTTGCCCTGCTTCCCTGAAAATAAGACCTCCCTGGATAATAAGCCCAATCGGGCTTTTGAGCACATGTGCTAAAATAAGCCTTCCCCCCAAAATAAGCCCTCCTTGAAAATATTGCAACACAGCAGCAGCCATGAGGTGACCACGCTCACCATCTCCTGCATCTCAAAAATAATAAGACCTCCCCAAAAATAAGGCCAAGTGCTTATTTTGGGTGTCAAAAGAAAATAAGACCCTGTCTTATTTTCAGGAAAACACAGGGTACCTAGTTGGATAATTAAATGTCAGCAAATAAAACATCAAACTCAGAGAGCACCAAGAACTCCACAGTTTGAAACACTGAACTCCACATGTTCTTTTTTATTGGAAGATAAATTTATTAATGTTTAGTCTCTGTGTAATGAAAACTAAGAAAAGAACAGTCTGTCTCAGGAAAAGAAATGGTCTTCTTCAGTGGAGATTTTTAAGCAGAAGCTAGACAGCCTCTGCTTGTCAAAATAATATAATTGTAATCTGAATGTTATAATATTATATTGACTTGCACTAGAGAAGTTCCCTGTTCTAAAATACTGTGTCTCTAATTGAATTATATAAACTATATAAACAACTTAAACAGGACAATAAATTATTAATAGAGTTTTTAAGTACAAGAATCTAAGCAAAATACCCCTGTCATTTTACATCTCCATGCTTACTTCAGCAGAGATTAGGCCCATATTTCAAAACCAATTTCAGGCTTGTAGGACATTTTAATGCCATTCTGGATATATGATAGCATGCAATCATAAATCAAAGTTTACATTTCTGCCTGGTATCCAACTTGCATCAATTCTACATCCCAATCACTGCAATGTAGTCTTGTTCAGAACTTGCCATGACAGCATTTTAAAATAACACTTTGAACCAATACTTTTCTCTGTCACCCAGCCCCACCCCACCTCCTTCTTCCATTCCAGAAGTGCCATAGCACTGTGTGCAAATATATTTGAGCATGTATTTTTAAATTACATACTGCATTTGTGATGTTTCAGTGCATGTCTTCCAACAATCAACTTACACACATGTGAAAAAAGTTACACTAAAGGGATTCCTTGAAAGCCTTCATCTTGGGGGGAAAAAAAGTAGTACCGTCCGTTTTCTTGTGAAACGAGAAAAATGGTTTATTAAAACAGAGCCCTCAAGAACTGTTCATGATTATTTTCTTCTTCTTGTGTAACAAATTGCAATAATTGCATTACATTATTCCTTGTGTTGTTCCTTCACCTTAAAAATCAGGTTTGCCATAGGTAAGAAAAAATGGGTTTCTAAGGTCAAGGCTAATTAAAATAACCTTTTAATAATATGTGGAATACTTTGTAGTCAATTCAAACACCCAGTTGCTGTCTTGTACTGTCACATCTTCATGTGTTTTTCCTCAGTGAATCAAATGTACTGATGAAGCTGCTATAGTTTCACAAACACTGTGGTGTTATTATACTTAATATTAGTGACTTTCTCAGAAATAACCTACTGAATTCAGTTGGTGTCTCTTTCAATCCTCATTCTTAAAGCAAGACAGTAGTATTAGATGCATGTGAAGATTTTTTACCTACCTTGAATCGGATTGATTGATGATTATGTTTTTGAGTCCTAGGGACAACATAGATTTTCTCCATCATGAGCTTTGGAATTCTCCTTCTCCTAATATGCTTGTGCATTTCTTTCATCTTTGAAGTTTAGATGGATTTATNCTACCTACCTACCTACCTACCTACCTACCTACCTACCTATCATCCAACCATGACATATGGATTTGTTAGTAGTTTGATCTATAGTACTCCTAATGTAAACCAATTTTGTCTAATCAGTATTAAGGCATACTGTAAGAAGTCCAATGCTGTGGATTGACATTTGCCACTGTTTTGCATTTAGAAGGAGAAAAGTAAGACATCCCTTTCTGAAACAATAAATTTCTATTTTATGCACTTTCTATCAAAACAAAAAAAGAACTTTAAAATCTTTAATAAGAACAGTGACAACCTGTTAAAAGGAGTTTTTCCCCTTTGCTGATTTGTGGTTCTATATAAGGATTTCCGGTCCTCAACCAAAGAATCATGATTTCACATTTTAAATAGAAAAAAATATATTTGCCAAGTGGAAAATGAATTTCTGACTGGTTCTGGTGTCTATAAGAGAAACTTGCATCTACAGTAGTTCAGCTGATGATAAATGGATTATGGTTATTATATATTCTTACATAAATCGAGAACCTTTAAAGTAAAAGACATTTTACACTTGAAAATGAATGGCTCAAACAAGTCTCACATATGTACCCCTTGTAAAGAATCTTTATTCTGGAACAAAGTAGAAAGAACATACATCAAGCATTTATTAAGCTTTTCCAGGCAATCAGTCAATTTTATCTACAATTATCAGTTATATTCCCTGAAGTTAATGGAGAAACCCAATTGTTGCTGTCTTCCAAAAGTTAAATTGTTCATATACCCATTAAGCAGTTAATAAATCTGGAATTCTATTTTTCTTTTACTATGAGTATTATACTCATAATAATAACTGCAATATTTACAACAGAATTAAGATAGAAATATCAAATCTGGTACAATTTAAGTACTTCCTACCATTTCATATGATTTATATTTCTAAGATCACAGATGGGAACACAGTATATATAGTAAAACAATACAGTATATATAGGAAAAGGAAAGAAGAAATTACATAAAAATATAATGCTATAGCAAACCGCTCAAGAATATTTGAACAATGATCTTCTATGAGAAAATAAATTATTTGAATGTTGACTGAACAGACTTACGGTTGCAAGTTGGACATAAATTTGTAATTCCAAAGTTGCAGAATAGTTATTAGAATATGAAGAGCCCCATATATGGGGAATATAACAGAAGAACCTTTTCATCCAGTAAGTGCTATACCAAAATCCAGAAATGAAACATCCAAGCCCGTTTTTCCCTCTCAGGCAGACAATGTTAAGCAAAGATATAGAAAGACTGCAGAGAACATACATATACGAGTTTGCTTCTCTGTTATGGGGAGGTGAATTTGGAAAATCTGACAGCTGCTATTGTGTTGCTGTCTGGTTCCCATAATTCTCTCTGGCCTAAAATGGGGATTGGGTGAACAGCATGCCTCAGTCCTGTCCTCTTGGCTCTTGCTTCAGGACACATCTGCAATGTTGTCGGGTTTTTATTTATCTATTTTGTTCTTGTTTAGCATGTTCTTTCTTCCTCTCCCCTTTTATCTGGAGCACACTATCCACATTCACTTTTGTTTCTGATTTTTGTTTGTTAATACCCTCTATTAGCTGTAACCTTTTCACGAAGTGTTATGATGTCACTGCTGTTTGCTATTTCAGTAGCACAAATACTTACCTCCCCAATCATCACTAGCCCAGACTCTTTCTCAGTTCTGCCAGCAGCAAAAATAAATGTCAGCTTAGGAAAGCCTTAATAGATGCAAATCAATCTCATAACAGTGATAATAATTTAAAGATGTCCCTTTAAAATCCTAAAAAAAAGTGACTCTCTATTTTTGCGTATCTTGTAGAAAACTGGAAACCATGAATTTAGTTTCTTCCTTTAAATTTGGGGTTCTCAAACTGTGATCCGCAGTCCCCTGGAGGGCCATGATGTTATTACAGGGGGTCCACAAAGGCTTGAAGAAATGTTAAATTTTGAGTTGTCTTGGGGTCTGTGCTGGAGTGAAATTCAGCAGGTTCTGGAGAACCGGTAGCTGTAATTTTGAGTAGTTTGGAGAACCGGCAAATATCACCTCTGGCTGGCCCCAGAGCGGGGTGGCAATGGAGATTTTGCAGTATCCTTCCCCTGCCATGCCCACCAAGTCACACCCACAGAACCAGTAGTAAAAAAATTGAATTTCATCATTGGTTCCGTGGCCACAAAAGGTATTTAAAGAGGGTGAAGAAAAGGTTGAGAACTCTTGCTTTATTTTTTTCCTTTTATAGTTTTATTGGTTTATAATATAACATGCAAAAAGAATATAAAAGCAAATAGGAAAATTAGGGAAGGAAAGGGGAAAGTGAATAGTGGGGGAAAGAAAGAAAAAAAGAAAAAAGGGGGAAAAGGCATTGACTTCTGACTCCACCGGTGCAGTTGACTAAGGCATTAAGATCTATGCTGAACTTTTTACTTTTTCATAATAATAGAAATGAAAATCCTTGCTATAAACCAATGAAATACAACTTTGTAATACATTGTTTTTAAGACAATATAGAGCAGCATAATTTTGCTGCAACGGCCAATGTTCAAAAAGCAATTAATTTCATTCCGAATACCCTCTTATGAAACTCATATTGCTATTACACTGGACAGCCTGCAGCTTAATCACACAGGTTACTAAATGACAACTAACCCCTTGTTACAGTTCAGAAACTAGAGTTGAAATTGCTTGGCTAAAAAATAAAAAAGCCAGGAGGGGGGACATGTTTATATTTTAAGGCTCTCTTTAAGATGGAAGGAGAATGATATAGAGAAGATACATTCCAGAGGCTGTTTGCAGATGGGGTGTAAATCTTATGGAGTGATTTGATCCATCTCTGGTGATCACTGGATGTTTATTGTGTTTAGTCCTTCCTTGTTCCTATGGCAGACATGAAGTTTTGTACAAATAGAGAACTTGTGTTTCCAAATAACATCATGGCCAAAAGCAGATGTGAAATTCTTGATGAATGTATTTTATTCTCCTTATGTACACTGAGAGCTTATGCACCAAAAACAAATTCCTTGTGTGTCCAATCACATGGCCAAAAAACTGTTCTATTCTATTCTATTCTATTCTATTCTATTCTATTCTATTCTATTCTATTCTATTGAACTGGATTTGTATTACCAACAATGCTTAACTTCCCCAATGTCTCCTCCGTGTAGCAGAGGATGGCAGGACTCTGTGAAGAGATCCTAACAGAGAACTGTCATGTGGGAGAGTATGCCAATATAGTGCGTAGGTGAGAAAGTCACAGTTTTCTCTTTGGGGAGAAAAAGGGATGGCATTTATGTTTTGGAACAAAATAGACATGGCAAGAGACACTTCTTTCTGGAAATAGATGAGCTCCAATTGGCTAGAACATCTCTGTATTCATCTCTTGGCTTTCAGTCCCATGTGGGCAGCCTTACAGAAAACTAAAATATCTATTACCACTCAGGCAAAGTTTCAGAACAGCTAAAGCAATTCTTCATTTAAATTGTGGTGCCAGCAACTGGAGTGATGGTAAGGCTGACCAATTAGAAAATACCTCTGTACAAACTATTGTTCTGATGGCATTCAAGGAGAATTGTAGGCTGCTTTCATAGCAGAACCCTCTGGCAAATATATAACTTCAAATATAACAGAACCCTCTGGCAAATATAACAACTTCACAAGGGAAACTTCATTGCATCCATACTACCAGCAGGTGTATGGAGAAGTCACATACACATACTGTACAATTTTCATTTTTAAGTGTCTGTTTATGAATTTTACCCACACTCCCCTTTATCAAGCAGTATGTGTGTAATTTGACCAAAAACAATCATACAGTCCCAAAGGGCAGTTTTCATAAGAGTGTCAATTTGCATTATATATTTCCATATCATTTATCTCAGTATTTTTTATCACAGTAATTAACTTGCAAATATTGCATCACATTTAACGAATTAGGATTTACATAATATACCTACAGAACACACATAGGTGATTGCCACACATTACAAAATACCAGAAATCCATGCAGTAAATGGTTTAGAATTCAGTCTCAACCACTGACTTAAGCAGCATTTATCTCTGCAAAGGTATGTCTGTGTGTATCTATTACTGTCAAAATTGCGTTTTAAAATGAAGTTATTTATTTTTTCTTCAGCTCAGAGAATCCTTTAAAGATCTCAGGAAGAAATTCAACAATATGAAATTCAACTACAGCAAGAAAACGGAAAAAGCACGAAATCTGAAGACTCTAAGAATTCAAATTCAGCAAATTGATGCTTTTTCTGAAAAATATCAGGTAATATTTATAGCAGTTAAGGCACAGAATGCATGCATTAGGTTTATTCTGAATGCACACAGATGTCTGGAGCAATCTATCAAACGTTTCTTCCATTTGCAGCTGATGTAATAGAACACCAAAGGTCACATCATTTTCTTTTAATAATTGACTTAGGATATGTTGTGCTTGTGCGTTTTAAAGCTAGAAACCAACTCTACTTTCTCAGTCTGCTTTTCTTTTTCATAATACAGCATCATTATTGTAATTTCTAAATAAACATAAACATATTTTCACATGAACAAACATTAAAATGCCTGCAAAAAAATCTACCAAACACATGTAAGATCTCATCTGCCAAAATGATTGAGGATGCAATGCAACAATGCCTGGACTTTGTCTTCACTCGGTATTATAAAAAATGGGATTCCATAGACTGTTACAAACTGCACACTGAAATGGTGCAGTTTCTTTTATTTTCCTTTGCTCTCCAGTAATCTTGCTAATCTTGCTAATCTTATATTATACACAGCATAAACATGGATCTTAAGCATGAACATTTAATAACATGGATCTTAAATTATTCTTATGCTCTTTGGAACAGGTACTGAGAAACAAGTTAGAGACTCTAAAGAAGAAAGTTTTAGATTCTCTATCAACTCAACCAAGTGACAAAGCCGAATTTATTTCTGCGTCAGTCAATGAATTAGAGAAACAGCTGACTGGATTTGGGAAGATTATGGAAGATTACAAGAAAAATTTGGAACTGATGGAACATTTGCAAGAAATGATGGAAGAGGTATAACAAAAAAAATCAAATGTCCTTTAGCTAGGATAAAGTGCCAGTTCTGAGATTTAGGAAACAAATGTAGATTCAATATGGCTGTCATCTATCAGCTCATGGATTTAATTTGCAAAAAGATGCTTAAATGAATATAGTTATGCATTGTTTAAAGACTAGGTTCTTCTTACTTTACTTAAATATGCAGACTAGCCTGTTTACTATACATGTTTTCCTGAACTAGTTTATAATAGTGAAGTAATTGCAGGCAAAGAAAAACGAAACCCACAAGTTCCCATTCCATCTTCCTTTACTTAAAATGTATATTTGGGCACAAAAAAATGCTATTAGAATGCAAATGAGGAAGACTATTAGAATGTATTTCTGACTGAATAATATAGATAATGAAAACTGCCAACATACATACAGTAGTTGGTTGTGCAACTTGGTAACCCTATCCCAGTGAACTGATAGTTGGATTATCAGAGCATTTGGCATTCAGGTATTGCTGAGAAATGCCAGTTAGCTCTGCAATATGGTTACAATAGGCCTGTGGACAAAAGGTACATCTGGTATGTATTACTAAAACCTGACTGAGTAGTGGTGCCATATTAGAAATCTACCCAGTGTAAAATCTACGCAGGTAGATTTAGCCTCATGGACTAGGTAACACTTTTACCATGAGAGTTTATCAGTGACCAGAGTCAGTGTCATCACAGTAGTGGGATTTGAATGCCTACATATTAGTTCGAGGCATAGGAGTGCATAGGAGTGCTGTTGGGTTTAATTGGACCAGGAGTTCAGGACTTCTATGGCAACTCTGGGATTGTCTCAATAAATCTTGGACTTGACGGATATAGGTGGATATGTGTTAGACATTGCTTTCACTTTGAAATGGAAAGTATGACCATCATCCTTTTCTCATGGTCAAATCCAGAGGTGGTATTCTGCTGGTTCGCACCAGTTTGGGCAAACCAATAGTGGCGGTGGCACGAAGCTCCACTCACCCACCCAGATGTCATCAAGGACCTACTGCGCATGCACAGTAGCTCCCGCTTCCGAACCGGTAGTGAAGATAAGAGGATACCATTACTGGCCAAATCTCTTCCTGATCCAGATGTAATTGACATATCACGCAATTTGTATGAACTGTTCCACGAACCTTATTTATTTATACAATTTAAAGGGCCAGCCAATCTGCAAATAGCAATTCTGGCTGGCTAACATAGTATTAAAAACCCAAAAGAGCCAAGTGCTGATATTTGCTTGGCACGAAATTACCTTGAGTTACCTTCAGGACTTCTCCCACTAGAATTGGCCCAACCGATTCAATTTTGCTGAGGGAACAGCTTCAGGAGATGAAGTGGTCCAAGGCTCAGTGCCAGTCCTGATGAGTCAGGATTCATTAATTGATGGAACTCTGTTTTGGAACAAGAAAGCCAGCAGATCTCCTTTGCTGGATTGGGTTGTAATGCAATACTATACCTTAGATTTAGAACAGCAGTAGTAGCAGTAAAAGCAACTAAATGAAATCAACTATTATAATTACGCTATTCTTTATTTATTTATTTAAACAATGTATATAGTCACCCATCTCACAAAAAACAAAAGGAATATAAGGTATGAAATTAAGGACTAATATGCTGATCCAGAATAAGAGTAATTGAAATATTAATGATGATAATCATCTATATTGTATTATATTGTTATGTTGTTATTATTATATTATAAAATAATATTAACATAATATTATCTTAAATTGTTAAATTCTTACATTAGACAAAGAATTGGACAAAATCACAAAGAATCAATGTCTAAAAAATGAAGTTGAAAGATTATGACATAAACTGGTCATGATCTTCTCAGTGGTTATCAACACACTGGGTGGCAGACCAAAAAATCTTGAACAACATTTCAAAAATCTATGTATTGACAATATTTTCATCTGTTGATCACACGACACAATTCTTCTTGGATTTGCATATATATTGCCAACACATTATGAGATTTAGATTGTTAAGAACTCAATGAGTTTGAAGGCCGACACCAGCTAAAGAACTAGCAGCTGTGACTTTACCCTGTGTATATATAATAATGATAATAATACACTTTAATGGAACATACACACCAGTAGTGGGATTCAGCCAGTTCGCACTACTTCTGGAGAACCGGTTCTTAAGTTTCTGAGCAGTTTGGTGAACTGGTTGTTAGAAGAAATCATTAGGGCAGAGAACCGGTTGTTAAATTATTTGAATCCCACCACTGATATACACACACACACACACACACACACACACACACACACACACACACACAC